AGGCGCGGCGCGGCGCCGGCGGGCAGCAAAAGACGCGGGGGCAGTAAAAGACGCGGGTGACGGTGCGCTCGTCATCTGCGAGCCCGCACGTATCGCCAAGCCTGCGTCCCCACTACGGGAGCGCAGCAGCAGAAGAAAGGCGCGCGCGGGTTGACGGCGCGCATCTTGAAGGCCACGCCGCCGGCGTATGCATCCCCAAGTCGGGACTCGGGACCCGCGATACCGGCGGGCAGTAGAAGAAGGCGCGCGGGAAGCGAAACAAAGGTGTGGCACGACACAGGCGCGCAGGGAAGGAAAGTCGGGCGTAGAGCAGGTCTGTCGAAGGTGATGAGCGCGCGGCACAGGCGGGCCGACGGCGAACGCGCTCAGAGTAAAGCGTGGCGGAGGGCGAAAGCGCGGAAGCCGCGCAACACGGTACCGCAGCCGCGGGGAGTAAAGAAACGAGGCGCGCGGTGTCAAGCGCACGATTTTCCGAGCGCGCGCACAGCTACAAGCCCGTAACCGCGCACCACAGTATGGCGGAACGATGCATCAGGATCGCTAACTAGCGATGTGTTCCCGTTACATCAACATCGCTAATTAGCGATGAGTCTGATATATCAAGCTAGCGGTGGGTCTCATTTAGGACGGCAACCATCAGGCCACTGATTTCAAGTGTCACCACTGTGCTGCACGATGAACACGACTGGCCGGATTTGGAACGCAACGATCAAATAATCCTTGACATCGTCGGCAACATTGACCACAAAATATGCCTCAAAAATATGAAATAAATTGGAGGTGGCTGGCCCGTACATAGGATACATGGTCTACGGCGAGTGAACCAATAACTGCTGCGGGACCGCTTGCATTCACATTTCGGTGCCAAAATGGAAAAAACTCGCGATCAGTACTTGTACAAGGGTACACGGACTGGAGGCCGCATAGTAACAGACATTGATGCGCTAGATTGGGATCCTTCGAGTTCAAGGGGGCACAGGCCGCGCGGGAAACGAGCACAAGGACCGGAAGCAGGACGAGTCTCTCGTCGCCTGCGCCGGAGACCGCTGGAGCAGGTGTAGCGCTGTGGCTAACAGAGATGGAAATTTATAGGTTGAAGGATGCGGATGTGGATGTCAAGGCTCAGATGGCGCCGTTTTCGTTCAGAGGGGGTGAATTTGGCGCTCTTGAAGCCTGGATCAACCCCCTCCAAACCACACAGGCAGGAGGAAACGCTAGAGGCACGCTCCGGGGTGCCTGAGAATGATTGCTATCGTAAAGCAACCGCAGCAGTCTAAGGTAAAGAGTGCCCCACAAGTGTAGTGTTGTTAACCATACCGGCCAGCTGTCCCAGCATGCAGGTGAAAACAATGCCGACGAACTAGCAGTGATGTCGCTAGAGCACAAGGGCGCAATGTGGGACCCAGAAGAGATAGCGGCGGTGGCGGGGACCCAAGGAGCAACTTTCAAAACAGGCGGCTTCCCCGGAATTGATGGTGCCCTCTATCGCCCAAGCAGAGAAACATATATTCTATGTAAAATCGAAGACATGACATGGCTCTGTAGCCCAACTTTGAAACGGCGCAGTAGCCTCCCTATTACAAAACACAGCAGCTCTGAAGACCAGAAACCACTTCTAGGGGCCGATAAATCTGAGCAGAAAAGACGGGGACAGTATCTTGAGATGTTTCTGTGTAAAAGGGTGAGAGATTGAACTTTAGACGCGTCGTCGTGGGTCGTCGTGGAGTCGCGCTGGCAAAAGAGTGCGTGTCACGGCGTGACCCGATCACACCTGCCTACTTTGGACAGGTCAAGAAAATGACAATCGGGTTCGTATGGGACATTCAGGCACTTCAGACAAATTCTGAGTCGACAGAAACTCTTTAATCGATGAGCCAAATTCGTTTGCATTGATTTTGGGGCAAAATGAATGTACCGAAAAATCAGGAAATTTCAAAACGGGCACAATGGGGGCAAACAAGTCATCCGTTGGGATCCTAACATTATAGAAATCATCGGGGACTCTAACCAAATTCCACAATACCGAATTTTCAGTAACGGAAGGTCATAACGAAAAAAAGTGTTCAAAGATACGTGTTTACAAGCATAATCCCAGTATGGCAGTTGAGTGAACGTCGACCCAATCTCTCCACTCCTGGTAAAATTCCATATTTTATTGTTGATGATCCAGAAACGTATTACCGAGTGTGTTACATCTACTGTGTTTATTGATTTGTGCTCAGGTAGTGCCAGAAGAGCGCAACAAGCAAAATAATCCACACACTGTAGTATCACCATATTGGGAAAATTTGCGATGTGTCCGTCTAACGGATACGTCAGAGTTAAGACACATTTAATTCGCTAACTAGTATGTCGAAGAAGGTAGGAAAAATACAATAAGTGTCTGGATATGGAGCGCTCGATGGATGCACATAGTTTTAGACAAGTATGTGAAAGGATCATAATTTTTTTTTTCCAATCCAATATCGAGTGGGCAGCGGTTCAGATACCAGAATCAATAATATGGATGCTTTAGACGTTCAAAGGAGGATCTACAGAGCAATTAGAGTCAGCGGAAGCGGCGGAAAAGCGGGGTTTGTGCAAAGCGAGAAATGAGGTGCCCCGAGCGAGTAGAGCATGATAGAGTGCACAAAGAGCCTTGGGGGATTAACGATTAACATCAGCGCTTAGTGGGAAATGAGGCCATCCACAAAAGCAGACGGAAGAAGCAGGGCCTGTTACAAGAGGTGTAAAAGGCCAGCCTGCGCTGTAGTGGAACAGGCTGAATAGCGGGGCAAGAATGAGCACTGGTGACTAATTGAAGTATTATAAGCTCTTTTCTAGTAACAGAAACACTCTCAGAAAAAACTGGTGCCTTCAGAAGGGTGATTGTCGCGTCGGACGTCAATTAGTGCGAATGGGAGGGACGGGCCACAGGACAACAGAAAGTGCACGGGATGCAAAGGGGAGGCCAGATTACAATTTGAGAGATAGTAGGCTAGAGATCCAGAGATGAACCACGGGTTAGGGGCAACGTAGCGCGGGCGGCAGCGATTTCGCTGTGGTGGAAGGAAAGAGGAGACCATCTGATGAGATCATTTCACCTGTTCTGCGATCCGCATTTGGACGGGCGGGACAGCGCCATTGCGCCAAGGGGCTTTGAAAATGCGAAAAGCTGCACATACCTTCCATTTTTTTTCTCAGAGCCTTCGGGGACCCCTCCCTCCCTTAACGACAGCGTGAGAACTTCCCGATATGGAAACTGCCAATTCTTTTCTCCTCGAAATGAAGGCCAGGACCGGCATTCATGCAGGAGAGTGTTTTGGATGATTTATGTAGAGTATTCAGCTCTTTCCTTGAGATGTATCACCTATTTGACTGAAAATAAATCTCGGTTTTAGGCACATCAATCGGACACGTGATATACCGGCCTGGTACGGCCTGATCGGCAACTTCCGGAAAACTTTAACTTACACGTATGTCTGTGTGAGCCGCTGCAGCGTGCATAAATTGAGCTATAACTGACGGTCCTGAGAATCAAAGAGACTCAAAAATTGGCCCCAAAATTCCAAAATTTTTCTGAAGTATGTTTTACACAAATCTGAGCAAAGGAACCAGTTTCCAAATCTCATACAAAAAAATATTTTCAGACCTCGGGGGGACCCCTCCTTCCCTGTCCATATAAGGAAATTTCTTATCTTCGAAGCCCCTTGCATTGCGCCTTGAATGTCCCATCAAAATTGCGGGCAACGACGGCGCGTATGCAGCTCCAAACCGGAACCCGCGGTGTTGGCGGGCAGGGGACGGCACGCACTCGGAGTGGAGTGTCCGTGAGCGACGGCGCGAGCCTCGCGCGACTAACGTCCTACGTGCCGAAGATGAAGAGGTGCGACCCGCAACGAACACAGCGTGTCCGGCTCACGTCAAAGCGTATTGGCGGACGGGGATGCGAGATGGCACCGCCCTCCCGAGGAAGGCGGAGCGGCCCCGGATCCGTAACGAAAACGACGCGCCGTTCCTTCTCGAGGGCTCCGCGCAGGAGGGCTCATGACGCTTATATGGGGCGCCTATTGGTGCTGCTTCCGAGTGCGAGCGCGCTCGCTCTTGAAGGGTGGACCACAGAAACAGGCAAAGACAGAAAGACGCGGCATCCACAACAGAGATATTGAACCGTTGGATTTGGGCCATAAACACCAGGCTGGCAGTTGACTGTGCAATGACAAACGAGAGAAAATACGGCAAGAGAGCTATCAAAAGCAAAATGGTGAAGCAAACTTGGAGAAATGTTTTGAAGAACGAGAGAAACCTCCCGAAAGAGTGGACTAGGGGGGTCGGGGTTTTAGTGGGTATTGGAGTGAGCTAACGATGATGGTGACTTGGTGGTTTGCCGCCAAGACACCGGAGTGAGTTCGCGCCAAAGCCCCACACGCCGTGCTGATTTGGGCACGAGTGCGATTGCGCATCTCCTCGAGAGGTCTGAATTTTCTGTCTGGCTGGGTTCCAAGTCCCGGGCCACAATCTATAACGGGTGGAGTGACCGACTATGTCGGCCCGACATTATGTGCTCGGGAGTCGGAAGTGACCGCCTGGTGGACACTGGACGAACACTATCGGGAGGCGGCATTCAAATGCCTCTTTCATGCACTATCCATGCGCCACTACCTCAAACGTTCCTAAAAAATATAAAAAAATATAAAAATAACAAGCGGCGGGGCAAATCAAGCTTTGGTTTGTTTGGTCGTGGCGGGATTATGTCAGCTCTCGCGTGATCCATTCGAGGTGATTTTTTATTCAACCCACACAGAAAGTCTGAAGTGAGGTCACTGTAGTAAGGACCCACAAGGACCTAATGGCTAGATTGGTATCGCATCCACTGCACTTGTGCGAGTATTAGTGGATGCCTATGTGGAAGGCCCTCGTTCGAATCGAGGTTGGCGTGCTGCATCCCTCCCAGAGCATTTTTTTTGGGTTTAGCACAAAAAGATCCCACACCAAGTGAAGGTGCAGAAATATAACAACAAGACCTGATAGCGAAATTGGCATCGCATCCACTGCACCTCGACTTTGCATGGTTTACGTGGAAGTCCCTCGTTCGAACCGAGGTTAGGTCCTTCGGCCGTTCTTTCTTGTCAATTTTTTATTCAAAGCCGCACAGAAGTCTCGAAGTTTAGAAAGGAGGAAGGAAGACCTAATAGCGAAATTGGAATCGCATTCACTCCCCTTAGGTTGATCTCAGGGAGGTTATGTGGAAGTTCTTCGTTCGAACCAAGGTTAGGACATGCATGATTCAACATTATTCAAGGTTCTCCCACCTTCTTTTTCCCCCACCAAGTTTTGGAAGAAATATAGGAGCAAACCAGGGCTCAGGGCTTTAGAGAAGGAAGACCTGATGGCGAAGCCGGCATCGCATCCACTGCATATGGCCCGGGCCCAATTGTGGTGAAATACCATTTATGTGGAAGGCCTGAGTCGTCACTGCGTTCTCTGTTTTCACCTCACACCAAATGAAATCTCTCTGTAGCTTGGTGCGGATTTATAGAAAGAAGACCTAATAGCGAAATTGGGATCGCATCCAACCTGGCCTGATGTAGTCAGCATTATGTGTAAACCCCTCGTTCGAACCGAGGTTATGTCCTATGTACTGCTTCTTTGTACAATGACTTTTTTTTAACTCAACTCACACCAAAAGGCTAAAATAGTCCGGTCTCAAGCAAGGCTCAGGTTTATAGGAGGAATACCTAATAGCGAGGTCGGCATCGCATCCACTGCACCTGTCTGGGCCCGCTTGTATCACTTCTGTGAAAGTCCCTCATTCGAACCGAGGTCCTTCGCCTCATCTTGTCTTTTTTTCTTCTCCCTCGGAATTTTACACCAGCCCAGGACTAAGGAAGAAGCAGAAAAACCTAATGGCGAAATCGGCATCGCATCCACTGCACTTGATGTAGCAATTATGGATTTATGTGGAAATCCCTCGTTCGAAGAGAGGTTAAGGCAATACCGTTCCCACCCGACATCCTTTTTTTTGTCACACACAGAAGGCTGAAATAAATCCGCGCTGGTCTAGGTTCAAATTTATAGGAACAGACCTAATAGAGAAGCCGGCATCACATCCACCTATCCCGACCAATGGTCACATTTCGGTGGGAAGTCCCTCTTCGAACTGAGGCTAAGTCATGGGTGTTGGAGAATAACAAACCACTAAATGAGACTTAAATGGAGAGCAGGAGGACCTAATCGAAAAATTGGTTGTATCAATTCGGTCGGCATTAGTCGCTCGAGCCGAGGTTAGGTTGTGAGCGCATACTAAAGTCCTTTTTTCTTCTTACTTAGATATTCCCACTCATTGAAGTTTATTTGAACTAGTATCACATCCGCGTCAGCTTCGTGTATCAGGAATGAGTAGCGAGTTGCAATTTTTTCATTGTATCTTATATTTCGGGGGGAATCATCGTTGTCTGCAAAAACAAAAAAGCTCGAGTGGGCAAGGACAGATCTGAGTTTATTTTTGAGTGTCTGAATGTGCGATAATTTTTTGTGGAAGTCCAGCGCACAAAGAGGGAAAGAGGCAAGCCGCATACAGAACTCGGCAAGTATGATGAAGCAAAAAATGCCCAGAGCAAAAAGAGTGCAGACTCACGGCGCCAGCGAAGAATGCGCGGGAAAAAAGACAGGATGGGCTCGAGTTTAACCCCGCAGAGGCTCTGGAATAGGCGCTTTGAGGACGCGTTGTTTGGATCAATGATTCAAGGCGGGAATGTGCAACACGTGGATACCAAACACAACTGCACCGCTTTCTGCCACTCTCTCTGTTGCCACGACCTGCCGAAGAATAAGTACAGGTAGGAGCTCAACTAGTTGCTCTACTGAGCTCTAAGCTCTTCACAGGACATTCAGTACCCACGACCGACCCTCATCATCTTGACTCTCTACTCTCTGATACGACGCCAAGTCAGAATCGAAGCACTTCAAACGGGAGATCCACCTGGTCAAATATTCGGGAACGCATGACCGACTTGGATGCCCAGATCCTGGCGCTGGAGCAAGCTCCTGACGCTGTCAGATTGGAGCGGCAGGACCTGCAGACACGTCTCGACGCCTACAAATACCCCATCCTTACCCTTCCCACTGAAATCACGTCGGAAATATTTGTCCACTTCCTCCCACCCTACCCCGAACGCCCACCGGCCACTGGACTCTTCTCCCCGGAATTTCTCTGCCAGATCTGTCGCACATGGCGTGAAATAGCGCTCAGCACGCCGCAACTCTGGAGAGCCATCGAATTGAATCTTCCGACGAAGTCTCAGACCTGGGGGTTGGATTTACTCAGAACTTGGGTATCACGCTCCAAAGATTGCCCTCTATCCATTTCCTTGCAATCCTCCACTCGGCTGCTCGAGATTGATTTCATCCAAGCCATCATACCTCATTATGAGCGCTGGGAACACATTGATCTCCGGCTGCCCATTAAATCACTTCGGTTGATTGGAACGGACTTCCCCTTACTCCGTTCCCTAACTTTGGGCCCCACCCACCATGCGAGAATGACCGACTCACAGGATGCAATATCGCCGTTCAGTAATGCGCCGCTTTTAAAGCAGGTCGCCCTTTCCAACGACTTTGGGCCGTTCGAGATTCAGCTGCCGTGGCCGCAGTTAACGAGCATTTCTGCCCAATGTTTGTCTTCGGCTGAATGCGCCGAAATAATGCAGCATTCCGCTGCCCTTCGGGAGTTTCGCTGCAACGATCTTGCCAATTACTCTCTCTCCAGTAACCTATTACCCGTGGCACCTCTGAGGCACCTACACTCGCTGAAGTTGGGAGGCGGCATGGGTCACCAACTGCTCCTGGAAGTACTCACTACTCCCGCTCTCCAACATCTTACGATCCCGGACAACCGGTTTGACGCTATTCCCAATGTCACTGCGCTCATTTTAAGGTCTCACTGTACTTTGGAATCCTTGCACATCCTTTATACGAGTAAAGCAGAAGCGATCTATCGTGCAGCATTTCCATCCATTCCCACTATTACTGTTAGAAGCCGAGGTCCATCATCACCTTTAAGCTTGTCCTCCGTCGTAATTATAGGATGAACTGCCAGTACCAAATATTGTTGTATATCTTTAGAAAATATAACCCCCCCCCCTGTCGCAAACGTGTCCAGCGAATAAAACTGTCGATATCAAGTTGATATTTTCGTCTTGTAAAATCGGACTGAATGAATGTCTGCATGATGATGAAGGGAAAGAAAATAAAACGCACCATGATGCGTCCAATCAACGGAACACTAGCGAAACCAACCCCATTCCAATTAAATCCGACAAACCGAAGTGCACCCGCAGAGCAGGCGAATTGACAGATTAAGTACCGCAAAATCCAATCACGCACGTGAACTCTGGATGTGTCACGCAAAGGACAACGGTGTAGTCAGGATCAATAGCATGGAAGAGGTACATAGCTCGACTATCCACATTAAAAGATACAATTGCAACAGTATCGGTCAGTAAGTATCAACCTAGACCACGCGACTTTGAACGGAGAAAGTGTTTTGAGATGGACAGAACAGATGTTAGATAATAGATTGGCGTGCGCAGAAAGATACGAATCGGAGTTAGGCTATGAATTCTCTTCAGCGAGGGAATTCATAGACAACTTGAATTAGAGTGAGAGGGCACTTGTATAAACGGTTCCGGGTGGGAGATCAAGTGACGCTAGTTGCCTCACTGTCCAACAAGGGGAATCAAACTGAAGGCTTGGCGCGCGATCCAGTTTGGTGGACGTCGAGAGAACAAACAATGAAACCGAAGCAAGCCGCTTGGAAAAGTCGGCAGTGAAAGCAACCAGAAAACCACAGAGAGAACATCCGGATCGCGCAGAAAGAGGCCCGGAGAGAGAGAATATCAAGTTGCGACCCAGACTGTCAGAAGGTCTCCCGAGAACTTCGTCAGAAACAGCTCCCGGTAAAAGCGGCCCGGATTGTGACGTCACGGCGACTAAGAAAGAAAAGAAAAAAGCGCACAGAAAAGCCTCGACTCCCACAAATGCATGCGCAGAGACTCCAGGAAAGCTGGACAAGAAGACCCGCTACTCTCCCCGCTCGCTCTCTTCCTCCTGCGCGTGCGTCCGGGTATGTGCGTGTGCATGCAGACTCGATTGAAGAATGTGCTTGTGAATTTGCGTCCACGGATGTCTACGGCGGCGTGCGTCGTGCACGCCTGCGGCGGCTCCGTCCACACGGGCGTCGACATGCCAAACGCGGTGTGTGCTGCGCCGACATCTTCAAAATGGCAATTCCGATTCTGCCTCCGACTTGCAGTGTCAAGTGTGGGTTATCCTCTCCTAGTAGTAACAATGGTAGTAGTGGTATTCCGGCCAGTGTCCCAGACTGACTGTCCTGATTCCGGTCGGCGCCATCGTAGAGGGTGCCAGCGCAGGAAGAGAAGCTGGCGGGATTATGTCAGCTCCGCCGACTTGTTCCCATCGGCGTACTTGCATTTACTATCTGCTTGCATTACTTGCGGGCTTCTCTGCTTGGACTGGAATACACTAGCTGCTAATTGTATGTATCCCTGCGCTCCAACTCGGGCTCTAAGTGTGGCTGTCCCTGAGGCTTTTCACCAAAACCCCAAGTACTATTCACGCACCAACCCGAGTTCCGAATTATACGCACAAGGACCTAATATCCATTACCGTTGAGAAAGAACCCGCGGAAAGCCCAAGTTCGAATTGAGGTTAAGTCATGGGCCATTTACTCCAAGTTTTTTTTTTTTGCTCAGCATAAAAATAAATTCGTACCAAGTGAAGGTTCAGAAGTATAAGAACAAGACCTAATAGCGAAATTAGCATCGCGTCCACTGCACTTAAACTGGCACCAGAAGTCAAAGTGGAAGTCCCTCGTTCGAACCGAGGTTAGGTTGTATGTAGTCTATATCCTTTTTTTTCTTTTTTTTTCCCCCCCACTCAACAGCCAAAAGCCCAAAACGATCACAGACACCAATCCAAGGGCAAGCAAAAGGGGGGAAGACTTAATAGCGAAGTTGGTATCATGTCCACTCTAGTTAGGCTGAGTATCAGCTGCAATATGTGGAAGGCCCTTGTTCAAACCGAGGTTAGGTCCTACTCCAGCCACCGACGGTTTTTTATCATCTCCTCAATTGTTGGGAAAAAATACAGCAGTAAACCAGGCACAGAATTACAAGAGCAAGACCTAATAGCGAAATCGGTATCGCATCTACTCTTGTTAGCAGGCTCAGCAATCTTGTTACGTGGAAGTCCCTCGTTCGAACCGAGGTTAGGTCCTTTGGCCTTTGAAACTGTTCCTTTTTCTCAATTTTTCATTCAAACCACACCAAGACCGTGAAATAATTCCGCACTACTTTAGGTTCGATTAGTAGGTAGGAAGACCTAATAGCGAAATTGGTATCGCGTCCACCCTGATTAGGCCGAAGAAGATCATCTGCAATATGTGGAAGTCCCTTGTTCGAACCGAGGTTAGGTCTTATTATAGCCACCGACTTTTTTTTATCATCCTACCAAGTGCGGGAAAAAATGCAGCAGTAAACCAGGTGCAGAATTGCACCAGGAAGACCTAATAGCGAAATTGGTATCGTCTCCACTGCCTCTGTTGAGAACACTTGAGTATGTGGAAGGCCCCGAGGTTAAGTCCTTTTGTTCAACCCGCACAAAAATCATCAAATAAATTTGCGGTGGGCCGGGCCTCAGAATTACAGGAGCAAGACCTAATAGCGAAATCGGTATTGCATCCACACTTGTTAGTAGAGCGGATAAGTGTTGTTACGTGGAAGGCCCTCGTTCAAACCGAGGTTAGGTCTTTCGCCTTCTCCTACCGTCCTTTTTATCAATTGTTCATTCAAACCCACACAAAGACCGTGAAATAATTTCACACTAGTTTAGGTTTGATTAGCGGATAGGAAGACCTAATAGCGAAATTGGCATCGCGTCCGTTGCCGGTTCAAAGTTTTTCAACACATTGTGTGGAAGTCCCTCGTTCGACCCGAGGTTAAGTCTTATGTCACTCCCACCGCTCTTTTTTTTTTCAGCCCACCAAGAGGCCCAAAACAATCACACACCAAGCAAGGCAGAATTATACCAGGAAGACCTAATAATTCGGTATCGCGTCCATTTCCCTTATGAAGTTTCAAATGGGAGTCCGTAGAAGTCCGTCGTTCAAACCGAGGGTGGGTTATTTGTCCCACTTGTCCTTTTTTTTCCTGTTCCTCATAATTTTTCAGTATGCAAGGATTAAATGAAGAGTAAGATGGACCTAATGGCGAGATTGGTATTGCATCCACTGCAATCTGAAATCACTGGAAGTCGCTCGTTCGAACCATGGTTAGGTCGTTGCCCCTTCCGCTTGGTTTTTTTTTCGCCCCCACACAAACAGCCCAAAAAACCACACATCTATTCAAGGGCAGGTGAAGGGTAGGAAGACCTAATAGCGAGGTAGGTATCGCATCCACTCCCCATTCCATTGCGCACTGTGCGGAAGGTGGAGTCCCTCGTTCGAATCGGGGCTAGGTCATGCACATCTTTCGTTGCTTTATCCGCAAAACGTGCATAATTGTTGGTAGGTTTTTTTAAATTTACCCCCCAAGTTTCGAAAGAAAATAAACCACTAAGGAAGGGTTGAATGAAGGGTAGGAAGACCTAATATTATGATGGCGAAATGGGCATCGCATCCACTGCACCTGGCTGAGCCAGCTTATATCATTTCGGTGGAAGTCCCTCATTCAAACTGAGGTCAGGTCATATGGCTGTTTGTCATCGAAAAAACATCGATATCTTTTTCTTTCTTTTTCTTCACCTTATCCAAAAGCCCGAAACAATCCCAAACCTATCCAAAGGGCGAAACCGGCATCGCATCTTCCGAAGTATCACCATGATTATGTGGAAGACCCATATTCGTTCCCACTTCTAGTACTGGTAGGTCCTGCCAATCCGCGACGTTTTTATTCAACCCACAGCCAAAAGTGCAAAGTGATCACACACCTATCCGAGGGTAACTAAACGGGAGGAAGCACCTAGTGGCGAAAATGGCATCGCATCCACCTCATTTGGCTTGGTGTGCAAGTTTTGTAGTGGAAGTCCCTCGTTTGACCCGAGGTTAGGTGCTTCAGGGGTTGTATGTTCTTTTTATTCAACCCACACAAAAGCCGAAATAATTTCGCAGTAACCCAGGCTCTAAATTACAGTAACAAGACCTAATAGCGAAATTGGTATCGCATCCTGCCATTGAAAAAAATCCAGGGGTTTCTGTGGAGGTCCCTCGTTCGAATCGAGGTGAGGTCATGGCCCAAATTTGTCTTTTTTTCCCCCCACACAAAAATTCCACAAACAAGAACACACCTATCCAAAGGCAGGTAAAGCAGAAGGCCTGAATAGCGAAATGGGCACCCTCTGCTTCAAGAACTACCGCTGTGCGGAAGGCCCTTGTTCGACTCGAGGTTGGGTCATGGCCGATGTCTTCCATTTTTTTATCCACCCCACACTAAAACCCGGAACAATCACACACCTATCCAAGGACAAGTAAAAGGAAGGAAGACCTAATAGCGAAATATGGCATCGCATCCACTTCCAATACACATGCACTGTTGATCATGTGGAAGTCTCTCGTTCAAATCGAGGTTAGGTCCTTGAGCTGTGCAGTCACTTTCTTCACGTCGTACCAAAAGAAATATCGCTGTAACGTGGTGCAGAAATATAGGAACAAGACCTAACAGCGAAAATAGCATCGTGTCCACAGTCCACTGTCACTGAAAGAAATCACGAGCCGTTGTGGGAGTCCCTCGTGTGGCCCAAGGTCAAGTCAGCTACTCGACCTTTTTGTCTCTCTTCTCCTTCGAAATTTTGCAATGGGGCCTAATAAATAATAAGAATGGTACCGCATCCCCGCTTGGTTTAAGTGCACCGAGATATGCCTTTGTGGAAGTCCCTCGTTCAGCCCGAGCTTAAGTCGTGAGTAGCTCCTCGAAATCCTTTTATTTTTTAACCGACCGAAAAGCCTGAATCAAGTCCGCACCGTTAAGTGTAGGGCATGTGGACTCCCTCGTTTTAATCGAGCTTATGTCATTGTCCATGTCTCACATTTCACATTTTCTTTCACCTTCAAGATTTTGCAGTAATTAATGTGAGGGAAGAAAGGCGGAAGACCTAGTCCACGGGGAATAGACACCAGCAGATGCGGGTGAAAGCTCCCGGATATTACTAAAAGAAAAGTGAGCTCTGGTGAGGGTGGACAGGTCTTTCCGATGAATTTGACAAATCAATTGTTTTTGAACTCGTAAGGTTGAAAATATTGAGCTGGAGAAAACACATTGTTGTCCCTTCGACAGAAGGAAGATTGCTAGATGAACCCAGGCTCAGACTCGAGTTATCTCAGTTATTTGAGAGGAAGTGAAACTGATGAGATGAGGGCAGAAGTTCCGGTTCGATTCGGGGGTGGGCCATGTTGATACCGTTTGAACTTTTTTATGATCCAACATTCGTTTAAAAATTGTAGCAGTGGGCGTAAAGATCTGAAGTGTTGGGGAGGCTCTACTGATGAAATTGTGTCACTCTTGAGCTTAGAGAAAATTGGAAACAAAACTCCGCATCGCAGTCAAAAATTTACTAGACAAACATAAGCCCAAAACGAGCGCGCGCACCTATCCAAGGGCAAGCAAAGGGGGGGAAAACTTAATAGCGAAATAGGTATCGCGTCCACTCTGATTAGGTCGAATATCAGTTGCAATATGTAGAAGTCCCTCGTTCGAACCGAGGTCAGGTCCTGCCATGCCGCCACTCTTTTTTTGCCCCGGTGGAAGCGCTCATAATTGCGCAGTGGTCCAGATTCTGAATTAGAGAAACAAGACCTAATAGCGAAAAGCTCAATCGAAGTCTTTTGTCTTTCTCATTCAACCTACCCAGAAGACTGAAATAGTCCGGTATCAAACAAGGTTCAGGTTTTCAGGACGAGGACCTAATAGCGAAATCGGCATCGCATCTACTCCTGCTGGTGTGAATCCTTGGGTGTCTATGGAAGTCCCTCGTTCGAACCGAGGTTAGGTTGTACATATCTTCAAACTTTTTTCTTTCTTTCTTTTTTACTCAACCCACAGTCTAAAGCCTAAAGCGATCGCACACACCCATTCAAGGGCAAGCAAAGGGGAGGAAGACCTAATAGCGAAATTGACATCGCGTCCACTCCACTTACCAATGAATATTTCATCGTGTGGAAGTCCTTTGTTCGAACCGAGGTTACAGTCAATCCACGGTCCTTGCAAAATCACTGCTCCTTGCAAAATGTTTTTTTTCTGAGGCAACCACAGCATATTTTGCTTGAACATTAATGGTAGACTTGTAGGTACGGTACTGGCGGATATTCCTGTATTTTTCTTCGTAACTATTCTGACATTCCCGTCCGCTATGCGGCTTGTGTCACTGCTCGTGCGTCGCCTCAGCCTGCACCGTCTCCGCACTCCGCGCGTACGCGGCCGCTGCCACCGCGAGCGAGGAGAACGACGTGGGCGGGGCAGTGGGCATCACTGTGCATGTCTGCGCTGTCTACGCCGGTATGCGTGTCGTTGCGTGTCCGTGGCTGCGCTGGTGTCGACGTCGCTATCGCAGATGGCGGCGTCCCCGGCGGTCCAGATGCAGACAACGGCCGTGACGTGCCCGCGCTGTCCGAGGCCGCAGACGCGCGGGCGCCACCTCGCGCCCCAGATTCGCGGCTGGCGTCGACGTCACGCTGCTCCCGCTCCCGCTCCCCTCACTGCTCTCCCCGGTCTCCTCCCCATCCGCGTCCGCATCCGCATCGCCATCCGCGTCATCTTCCCATTCGAAGTTATAGCCTCCCGCGCCTCCGCCTCTTCGCGCCCCTTATCCCCGTCTTTACCCCACCCGCCGCGCCTGCACCCCCGTTCCGCGCCATCCCAGACCCACCTAGCCCGTTTACCGGCGAACGCGCCGCCCTGCCCGCCACACCTTTCAAGCCCGGCACCCCACCCCCGGCTTCAGCTTAGGCTTCACCACGCTCGCTCGCGAGCCCGCCTCGCCGCGGTGGCGCGGGACGCCGTCGATGCCGTTCTCGGTTTGGGTGGGGCGGGGCAGGGGGGGGGGAGGGGTAGCGGAGGGCGAGCGCACGCGAGGTAAGGAGGGGGGAGGGAGAGAAAGGCGCGCGTGGCGGAAGTGAAGGAATTGGAGTGGGGAGAACAGGAAAGAAGACGAAGGGGGCCCGAGCGCGCGCGACGGAAGAGAGGAGCGCGGCGGAAGGAGGGTGGTACATACAAGAGAAGGAAAGCGGGAGAAAGGTGCACGCCCAAGCGCAAAAACGGGGAGGGCAGGAGAGGCGGGCTATGCGAGGAGCGTAGAAGGCGAGCGCGCGCGAGGGAATGGAAGAGGGTGGGCACGCCCACTCTAAAACGCGCGATGCGAAGCACTCCAAAAACGGGCGAAGCGAAGCGGACGGAGGCGGAAACGGAAGATGGAGGATGAATAATGGACGGCGGCGGACAAGACGACGATGGGGTCCGATTCCGCCTCCGACTTGCGCTGTCAAGCGCAAGGGTACCTGGCTTATCTTCTCCTAGTAGTAATAGTGGTGGTGGTGGTATTCCGGCTGTGCTGACTCCGGGCGGCGTCGCAGAGGGGTGCCAGGCGGGATTATGTCAGCTCCTCCGGCTTGCCTCCGAGTCAACTCCGAGTCCGATCAGCTTATCTGCTGCGGGCTTCTCTGCTCGGACTGGAATACACTACTTGCATGTATACCTGTGCTCCAACTGCGTTGTAACTGTCCGCCAGTGGCTGCCGGACTCCCTTTTCACCAAAACCCCAAATAATCACTCACCAACCCAACACCAACCCATTAAACAGTCCCGATTTACACGAATAATGACCTAATGGCGAAGTTGGTATCGCGTCCACTCCATTTCAATCGGAACTGTATCGTTATGTGGAAGTCCCTCGTTCGATTTGAGGTTAAGGCATATCTCCATTACAAGTTTTTTTTTCATCCTCTCTCGGTATCAAGCACGGTTCTTTGTGGAAGTTCTCGTTCGACTCGAGGTTAGATCCTATTTCTAGCGCCTCTATTTTTTAATCACAATCAAGTCCACCAAGCCCAATCGTAAGTCTTTTTTTCTTTCTCATTCAAGCCACCCAAAAGTCTGAAATAGTCCGGTATCAAGCAAGGTTCAGGTTCATAGGAGGAAGACCTAATAGCGAAGTCGGCATCGCATCCACTCCTGCTGGCATTATAATGAATCCGTGGGTGTCTATGGAAGTGCCTCGTTGGAATCGAGGTTAGGTCTCGTCCGATTCTCAGCGCAGCACTTTTTTTTTTTCAATTTACCCCAAAAAGCTTGAAATAACCTCACTGGTGCGGAACTATACCAGGAAGGCCTAATGGCGAAGCCGGCACATCCACAACTAACTCACTGTGTTTCCAGGAAGTCCCGAGGTTAAGTAAGTCATTACCCAAGTCTCCGGTTTTTTCCCCCCCACAACAAGCCCGAGACAATCACACACCAACCCGAGTTCCAAATGATAGGAACAAGACCTAACAGCGAAATTGGCCTCGTGTCCACTGCACTTGAGTCTTCGCAAGCGCATGAGTCAAAGTGGAAGTCCCTCGTTCGAACCGAGGTTAGGTCGTGAGCCCGAAAGCCGGACTCATAGTTCTTTTTTCTCCCTCTTCATGGCTGTTTGTCATCAAAAAACATCGAAATCTTTTATTTCTTTTTCTTCACCTCATCCCAAAGCCTGAAACTATCGCAAATCTATCCAAAGGGCGAAACCGGCATCGCATCTTCCGAAGTATCACCATGATTGTGTGGAAGACCCTCATTCGTTCCAAGGTTACTGGTAGGTCCTGCCAATCCGCGACGTTTTTATTCAACCCACACCCAGAAGTGCAAAATGATCCCACATCTATCCGAGGGTAACTAAACGGGAGGAAGCACCTAGTGGCGAAAATGGCATCACATCAACCACAATTGGCTTGGTGCACAAGTCTTGTAGCGAAAGTCCCTCGTTTGACCCGAGGTTAGGTCCTTCAGCGGTTGTATGATCTTTTATTCAACCCACACAAAAGCTGAAATAAGTTCGCAGTAAAATAAGTTCCGAATTACAGTAACGGGACCTAATAGCGAATTTGGTATCGCATCCTGCCGTTGAAAAATAGTCCAGCGGTTTCTGTGGAAGTCCCTTGTTCGAGGTAAGGTCATCGCCCACCCCACACTAAAACCCGAAACAATCACACACCTATCCAAGGACAAATAAAAGGAAGGAAGACCTAATAGCGCAATATGGCATCGCATCTACTCCCAATACAGAAGCACTGTTGACCGTGTGGAAGTCCCTCGTTCAAATCGAGGTTAGGTCCTTGGGGTGTGCAATCTCTTTTTTCACGTCATACCAAAAGAAGTCTCGCTGTAATGTGGTGCAGAAGTATAGAAACAAGACCTAATAGCGAAAATTGCATCGTATCCACAGTCCACTATCACTGAAAGAAATCGCGAGCCGTTGTGGGAGCCCCTCGTTTGCCCCGAGGTCAGGTCAACTGCTGGCCCCTTTTTTCTCTCTCTTCTCCTTCAAAATTTTGCAGTGAGGCCTAATAAGTAATGATAATGGTACCGAATCCCCGCTTGGTCCAAGTGTGCCGAGATATGCCTTTGTGGAAGTTCCTCGTTCAACTCGAGCTTGAGTTGTGAGTGGCTCGTCGAAATCCTTTTATTTTTCAACCTACCGAAAGCCCGAATAAGTCCGCACCGTTAAGTGCATGGCATGTGGAAGTCCCTCGCTCGAATCGAGGTTAGGTCATTGTCCATCTCCCACATTTCACATTTTCCTTCACCCTCAAGATTTTCAGTAATTATATAATGTGAGGGAAGAAAGGCGAAAGACCTAGTCCACGGGGAATAGGCACCAGCGGATGCGGGTGGAAGCTCCCGGGTCTTACTAAAAAGAAAAGTAAGCTCTGGCGAGGGTGGACAGGTCTTTCCGATGAATTTGGCAAATCAATTGCTTTTCAACTCATAAAGTTGAAAATATTGAACTGGAGTAAACACATTGTTGTCCCTTCGACAGAAAAAAAAATTGCTAGATGAGCCCAGGCTCAGGCTCGAGTAATTTGAGCTATTGGAGAGGAAGTGAAACTAGGTATCACTGCATCTATGGCGCATTCTTTCCACTTGGAATGAGATGAGGGCGGAAGTTCCCAATTCGATTCGGGGTGGACATGTTGATACCGTTTGGATTTTTTATGGTCCGACATTGGTTTAAAATTGGAGCAGTGCGCTGCAAATGATCTGAAGTGGCGGGGAGAGGTCTATTGATGAAATTGCGTCACTCTTGAGCGTAGAGAAAATTTGAAACAAAACTCCGCATCGTAGTCGAAAATTTACTGGACAAATGCATACTGGTGAAACTAGTACCGCATACGCCTTAAAATTAAATTAAATTGTGTGGCAGGAATCAGATGCGCAGCGCAAGCGAATTTCGATTATTTCATCTTGAGGAAGTATCCCGATCCGCAGAAAGAGACAGAACCCACAGTCAGCAAGAACTTGACAAATGTTATGAGGCAAAGAACTCCCAGGGGCAAGAGCAAGAGAATACAGAGTTGTAATGTACCAGTGTGTCGCCAGAAGGCATGTATAATGTGGCCTATAGAAGAAAATCTTCGCCGGAAAAAATATTAATGAAATTCAGACGGCGCAGGTGGTAAATGCGGCCCGCTGCGCGCGTGTCAATGTCATCACGGCTATAGGAAGGAAAGCGCCAGAAAGCGGGATGAGCCGGGTTCAATAAGCGCGCAGGGGCTTTGGAAATACGCGCAGAGGACACTATGTAGATACTGTACTATTACATTCAAATCGACAGTCATGCGTCACGCGGGTACCTGTCGATGTTGAACTTTGATAGTTCGCCACCCATCACCCGGGCCGTTGTCGAATCTTCCAGACGGTTCGTCACGCAAAAACTCGTCGTCCCTCCACAAAAAAGCTCCAATTCGGCCAAAGTTTTGTCGAATTCATCGAAAAATTTCCCGGTGTCACGCCAAAATTTCATGTTGTCGAATTGTCAATCAGAAATTCGGGTCACGCGTCACTCCCCCTGTCGATTTGATTGTAATAGTACGGTAATGGGATCCTAGGTTCGGATCAAGCCAGCCGTTCATTGTTTTGTGATGCGGGCATCGTTTGGTAGCAAAACAAATGAAGGGGCTTGAGCCAAGATGGGGAAATCGGGGGGGATGTTCATCGCATCCTGCTGCTTTGGTTCGCGCGAAAGACAATGGTATATATGAGAGAAAGTTATTCATAGGAAGCAAACTTAAATTTTCAGCTATCCAGAATAATATTCTGAAAAGAAATCATCAACATCCGAAGCACTCAAGGTGGGCTTTCGGACAATTCTGGAAATGTATAAATCGAGTGTTTCTGCAGCTATAAGGCCCGGGGAAAAGAAATCTTAGAGTAGGAATACTTCAGATTCATTTCAAAAGGCTGTTTAAGAAGACATTTTAATATTATGTCCTGATTTGAGAGCATAATGTGAAAACCTGCTAAAATTGATGGGCGGGATAGGATGAGATCCCAAGTCACGCAGTGACATTTTGGCGCAGAGTCACATGTGTGACCATATCTCCGAAGCGTAAAATGTCGAATGGAAGAGAGTTTGGGACACCAAAAGGAAATGAAGTCGAGGGATACCTTTATTAATGCTATATGAAGAGCTAGGTACCGCTTTTATACCAAAAAAGTGCCACCTCAACACGATTTTAACTCAACTTCCCTGACAACTAATGGCACAAAAAGCCCGCAGACCACAAGTGCCAGGGCTCAAAATATTTTTTGAATCCCTCTAGAATATCTAATATGCTCTTGTATCAATGGCTGAAGGTTATTTTTTACTGAAAAGCATTCAGTTATGTGCCAAACTGAGCTCGAAGATCCCCTCTGTTTGTCGCACTTTGTCCCAAGCCTCTCTCCGAGATAGACCGGGTATCCGGTCCGGAGAGAGGCTTGTTCCGAACCTAATGGGATCCAGGGAGAAAGCACGAGGACGCGTTGTTTGGATCGAGGCTGGGACCCAAACTGATGGAATTGTCGAATCAGAAATTCGGGTCACGCGTCACTCCCCCTGTCGATTTGATTGTAATAATACAGTAATGGGATCCAGGGAGAAAGCTCGAGGACACGTTGTTTGGATCGAGGCTGGGACCCAAACTGATGCGCAACACGTGGGATAGATACCAAACACAAGTGCATCGCCTCCTGCCACTCTCTCTGTTGCCACGACCTTCTGAAGAATAAGTACAGGTAGGAGCTCAATTAGTTGCTCTACTGAGCTCTTAGCTCTTCACAGGACATTCAGTACCCATGACCGACCTTCATCATCTTGACTCTCTGCTCTCTGATACGATGCCAAGTCGGAATCGAAGCGCTTCAAACGGGAGATCCACCCAGTCACATATTCAGGAACGCATGACCGACTTGGATGCTCAGATCCTGGCACTGGAGCAAGCTCCCGACGCTGTCAGGTTGGAGCGGCCGGACCTGCAGACACGTCTCGACGTGTACAAATACCCCATCCTTACCCTTCCCACTGAAATCACCTCTGAAATATTTGTCCACTTCCTCCCACCCTATCCCGAGCGCCCACCAGCCATTGGACTGCATTCTAACCTAGCTTCGCTGATTTTCATCCTAAAGTGTATTGTATTATAACCTACCACTAGCTGAAATATAGGTTGATAATCATGCTGTGCGGCCGCCCCAGAGAGTCTTTCGACAAAGTATTTGACCATGGCACTGGATTTACTCAGAACTTGGGTATCACGCTCCAAAAATTGCCCGCTATCGATTTTCCTGTGCTCCTACAGTGGGATGGTCGACATTGATTTCATCCAAGCCATCATACCTCCCAGAGTCGGGTCAACCGTCAACGTCTTCAGAGTTGCTGATTGGACTGGATGTTTCTCTTTGGTTTCTCTGCTCGTATCCGCATGTGCGATATGCCTTGTACCGCGCTCAAACTCGGGCACCACCAGTAAGTTTTCACCAAAACTTGACCGTGACGGGTTGATCGGCGGCCCGGTCCGGTCGACCAAGCTATCCGCTTTGACCACTTGCAAGACAAGCAGTTGCAGGTGATATCGAAGAGAAAAGTCTATGTAAAAATGAATGGTACCATCTGTGTTAACGTTTAGCTAACGGAGCCTACTGCTGAATGAAAAACTTCTTATTGAGGGACAATAAGTTGTCCAAGAGAACTAGTAACGAGTCTATCTCTCATCGGAGTTAAATGTGTAGGCGGAATGTAGAAAGTTTATTTGAGCTCGCAGATCTTGCCCGAAGCCTGCAGGATCATACGCCGCTCTCCACCACAGTCTAAGGAAGCCTGTAAGTAAATGAAGGCTGTAATTTACCGACGCTCAAGGTCACCATATCAATCGGGATACCGGGCATCCACTGATCTATCGCCTCACGGAGATGCCGTACGCCACCCGCCTTATTAGGCCATTCACGGGATGGAATGGGTTTAAAATGGACCTGTCGGAGATGGATGAGCTTCCTGCGAGTCGAGAACGATGCATCCATTATAGAGAACGTGGCTTCCGACAGCCACGGGATCTCGGGCGTAGGGGCGTGAAATGGAAGGCCAGTGGATGCTGGGGAATGCAGTGGCCATTTTAGCGAAGGTGCTTTGATATTCGATGGGAAGGTATCGACGAGTATCGACGAAGGTTTCAATTTCAAAGGTGTGGACAAAAGGCATGGGTGGTACGCGGACGCCACACTCTACACTGCGGGCGCCTCGATGATGGCTGCGGGCCGGAACATATACAGGGTTGTATGTCGGTACGTGTTCCCGTGCCAATGAGTATTTCGCAAATGATGGCGAAAGTTGCTCAGTGAACAACGCCATCGCGGGCTGGTCCGCGCGCAGCGGCGGCCGCTTCACGGCTATGGCGGGAGCCTGACAACGGACGGCGTTGGCACTCAATGTGCGACAAAGTGCACCCGGCGCGTTTAGGGTACGTCTGTGCTTTCATCATTATTTTTCACACCGTCTTCCCATCATCACCCTTGTTCTGCAGGTTTGGTGGTGCACCCAGCTTAATACAGTACACACGTAGACTCGTTACCAGTCTGTAACCAAAAAGTGCTTGCTACATTTTTTTTGGATTCTGGTTACAGACTGGTAACGAATCTAGTACACACGCCGCTTGCGATATAGATATTTATTCTCACTGGACCCGGCATTCCCGAGGTGTCGCAACTTGTCGAATCGCCGCGAGCCAAGCGCGAGAGGTAAGGAGGCAACGCCGTTGATTTCATCTATAGTACCTACCTGCCTGCCTGCCTAGCCCGGAGC